AAGAAAGGGAATCTAAGATTATATTGATTATATTAATTATTTATAATACCAAATTTATTACAAATTCCTTTTAAAAAATTATAATGAGCACTTAAAGTGATCACAGACTTGAATTCCACACAATCCAAACATCTCAGTTGTAAGAATTTAAATCTCTCAATGACCTCTTCTTCGCATATCTTTTGACCCTCGTCATTTTGATCCGTCAACACGCCAATACTCAATAATAATTTGGCCCAATAATTAATTGAAACCCAATTTTCCAACAAAGAATTAAAGGAGATCACATAACAAATGATAAATTGCTCAAAACGAGAAGCATAAGTAAACGTATGTTCACAATTTATCCAAAGTAAGAATAAACGATAAGCGTTTAATAACATGTAAAGTTTTTGTGTAAAGGTAATGGTGGGAAGTTCCAAGGAAATGATTAAATATACGTGATTATAAAACTTTTCAGAAAAATTAAATAATTTTAAAGTGGCTTTTGTAAGCGATACTAATGTAATCTTATTTGTCTTATTTGTATTTGTTAAAGAATATAAAAATTTAGGAGAGATATTATTTGATGAGAAATGTGATAATATTGAGTGTTCGAGTGATTGAGTGATTGAATCTAAATTGGTAAAATTATTTAAATAATTTCTTTCTTCAGAGGAAATCTCAAGGGAATTTAATTCAAAGATATCTAGATCACTATCATTTAACTTCTCCATCAACTTTTCCAAATAGATCTTTCGTGTATTGATAGGGTCTACCACTTTAGGAAATGATAAACCAAAGTCACTACTTGTAATCTCTAATAAATTATCATCAATCTTTTCACATATTGATAATTCTTCATTTTCACAAATATCTCGAAGCGCATACACCCCCAAATTCAATTCATTATTAATATAATTTTTAACTAGAAAGCAATTCGGATTTTTTGAAGTCTTGATAAAACAAAATAATTGTGATTGAGAGATGTTCACGCCCGAACAAATTTCCAAATATAAATTTGATTTAATCATTTTATCATCAAAGAAATGTTCACATGGTTTTTTTGTAATGCATGCGTGGTGAAATATGTATTGATATTTTTGAAATTTGTGCATTGTCATTAACTTGAAATCATAAAGTGCCATTTGCAAAACGTACACATTTGAACTGGTAGGTTTAACGTTCGAAATAGGTTGGATTAATTTCTCTTTCTCTTTCAAACATTCTTTCTTTTTCATTTGATGGCAAAAATAAGGAAATTTTTTTAAAAACATCATTTTAATTTTGGAGTAGAAGAGGAAAATAAAAAAATTTTTTTTTCGAAAATCTTTTTTGAGCTTGGGGAAATTATTATTTTTTAAATTAGTTTTTTTAGGTTAAGTTTTTTATTTAAAGTAAATATTTACGTTTTTCATGTCATCCGGTTTGTTTGGATCGTAATTATTCCGCAGAAATTTAAATATTTACATAGAAAATGATATTCATCCGGGCACGGAGAACGTCGGCTAACCTAAATTTTTGGAAATATTCATATGAAAGTGACCGACATCTAATACGATCTAGCGTTCGAAAAAAAGGTCAACATTTTTAATTGATACCATCCCGAAATAATATCGTAAGATTCTATGAAGAATTCAAATGTGCATTTTTGCCCCTTTATTTTTAATTTTCTGACTTTAATTTAACCTAATCAAGAAAAACTTCGAAACCCATCTTAATTTTGTAAATATTGATCAACATTTCGATACTGGAATTGGTATAGATATTTAAAACAAAAAACTCCGTTCAGTCTCCGGTTGCATACTTTTTTTTTGTGTATATGTTACGCGAATTGTATTGATTGGGTAATTTGTACATCAAAATATATTTGTTTTGTGAAAGATTAAAGAGATGAATGCGGGTATGATTCTTTCACAGCCACAGAAAATATACCGTAAACAGTTTATAGCATAGACTTCCCCATAGATTGGAGGTATCAAACACGAAATTTATGCAATTAATAAGTACCCGGGTATTGTACTCAATCGTGCACGGACATTTGTCTTAATTTAATTCGCTGTAAGATTGTCTAGTTGATTATAATTGGTATTGCATCGGTGCCAACAATATGTTTGTTATCGTTAGTTCCTTCAAAACCGGTCAATTGTTTCAGAACTAGATTCCCTGCCCCACGAAGAGAACAACCCAATAAAAACCACAAAACTCAATAGATGAATTTAGATAATTATCTTGACTTAACCCCAAAAAACCTAGCACCAACATCTCTGTCATCTCATTCCTGCATTCAGCATTCTGAGAAGCATCGCATTCCAACTTACCATATCAAAACATTTCATTCGGAATTGTTTTTTTTAATATCTAATTCATGACAAAAAGGGAATATGATCATCATCATCTGACTTGATAATAATAAAAAATGAAAATGAAAACCTAATTTATCGAAAACGTTATACTAAAAAAAAATTTTTTTACCTAATATCTGATATATTAAATTCTAATGATTTTCATGAATTCGTAAAAAATTTATTAAAGCTTGAATCACGTTAACTTTAAAATTTTTGCTATTTCTGGCTCAAGATTATTAGAATAACTAATAAATGAAATGAAGCGGTTTCTTGTAGATTTGTATTTCATAAAAAATTGTTTCTATGTTTAAATATTACCGAATCACGATTACATAATCTCGTGCAACTGTTTGCTGTTGGACGATTTGCTAAAGAATTCCAACATTGATTAATTAAACTTGCGAGTAAACTAGGAACTTTGATGATCGGTTAATATTTCATAAGCTAGAATTCCAAATAAATAATATTGGATTCTTGTGCGTGATCATTTCCTTGTAAATTTTCGGAGCCTCATAAGGTAATACTCCAAACCTTCTTTACCTGATCCAAAATTGGCGGGTTTACTAAATCCTAAATCAGTAATGTAGATAACCTTTCGTTCTCTAACTATCTTACCCGAGTGAAGATTACGATGAATCATTCCTCTCCCATGAATATATCTTAATCCTCGCGCAATTTCGTACGACAAGTTTTAACTTTTCAACCCCAATTGATATCATAGTAATTTTATCCAAGTAATTTCGTAGATTACTGCGTTTCGCATGGTTCATTACAATTAAACTTTTTTTGTAGCTTGATCTCTGCTAATACCGAATAACTTGATGATTTATATTGAATCGTTCATCAATCGATGTAAATTAATCTAATTAGATGATGAATATTAAATTAGTAATAAGGAGTGCCTTACCTCGTGGAACAATTCCGAACAAAGGTTTTGTGAATTTTTAAAACCATCTATTTATATTTTTGTTGACATTGATTTCCTTCTTATCCGTATATCTACCCCACCCACCTTGCGAGTTTCGAATCCACGAAGTAATAAAACCATCTTTCCATTCGGCCTTATGAACGATTCCAAACCCTAAACGTTCAACATCGTAAAACCTGTCATATTCAATCCACTCTAAAATTCTTACACCAGAAGTTGCTTGAAATTGAAATTCGTGAATCAATATATAATTATTTCCGCTAAGTTCACCTTCAAAATTTTCATGAAAGTGCTTTGAATTGCAGAAATGACAATAGCTAATACAAGTATTTTGTTGATAGATTTTCCACATAGTTTATTTTTTTGATACCTTTTTTTTAACTTTACGCTTACGAATAATTTATTAACAAATGCTTCTGTTCTTTCGTCAAGTCGTGGTAACTATAATTGACCGATTGTATCTTCGCTGAGATGTGTTAACAGGTTTGAATTTAAAAGATGTAGAAGTTATTGACAAAAAGTATTTATTAAACTTCACTCGGAAAGGAAATCCGCTGAATGTAACTCCGATACAGATTCGATTATTCATATATCATATGTATAGAACACTTAGTATCCATATACTTATTTTAGTATAGTAGGTTATGTTTAGAGGGGCCATCAGATGATTTCACGTGGGTTGTATAAAAAAGATTTGCATACTTGCAGATTGATAAAGATCGATAATTTTATTGTAAGTTATCGAATGCGATTATTTTCATATTAAAATTTCAATGCTCAAAATATATATATATATTAACTAAAAAAAAGTAAATAATAAAATACATACAACTTTTATTATAAGAATTTTTATTTCAAACACTGGGGGCTACGATTTTCTTATTATTTTCCCACACGTATTATCATGATCATTATCAAGAAAACTACCGTAAAGCGTTCTGTATAGTACCCGGGTATTTATTTACATACTACTAAATATTGCGGGGTAAAATATAATAATTGATCACAATATTTAGTACCCGGATACTATACAGAACGCTTACGGTATAAGTAGTTTGCTATTATCGATTCCAATTGTTTTGCGATGTGAATAATAGCGATTGTATAACTGTAATATATAAAATTAAATGCAGATCGTTCATAACAGAAAATAGATAATACAAACAGTATATCATTTTCAAGAAGTTCCTGTCTGGTTCTTGTTGATCTTCAGATTGGCATTGGATAGTGGTTAGTATAGTTAGGGTTCGTTATATATGTTTGCTTTTAATGCACTAATATTTAATAAAACTATCACTTAAAATAATTTTGATTTCTGCTTTATCCAAACTTTGTGAAAGTTTTACAGCCTTATTATCTCTTGCATATTCGAAGATGTTAGGATCCTGAGATTTCAATTCTAACTGTTCTTGAAAAATATCAATAAATTCTTCGACTTTATAGTTTGTATATTCGATGTTGTTATCGGATAAATATTCTAGGAAGTTTATGGCACTCCAAGATCGATTTCATATAATTAGTTATATGTTGTTCCATGCCATGATAAACCTATAAAATAAATAAAATAAGTAGAAGATCGTCAGCAAGTAAAAATTTCAGACGAATTATAATTAATGTGCAAATAGTAGAACTCGTAGTTGTAGTATTGAGAACTAATGCGTAAGTAGTGAGAACACAAGCATGAGTATTCTGTATGTAACAAGAACTCCTACTCGTGGTATGCACATAATTTATTCATATTGCTATAAGGAATGATCATAATCCGGATCTGATAACAATTTAAAAAAACTTTTAACAGAATAATTAAAGAATATTATATACTTGCCTAGATGTGAAAAGTGGAGGGTGTTAAAAATTTTGTTTCGTGGACGCGTGAAGTTGTGGAAAATGTAGAGTGGAAAAATCATTGTTTCGTGTATGAATAAAAATGTATCGAGGAGAATGGGAGAGTTGGAGTAAAAAAAATATGAAAAAATATCCTTGTATATATAGTATATTAGATTTATCTATACATTGATTTTCGTTCAAAAATAATAATTAATATTAATTCACCATCATAGTCTAATAATTTATACATAGAATGACACAAAATACATTCATTTATTAGATATTTTTTTTTTTTTTATTAAAAGAAAAATTTATAAAAAGAACATCAAGCTTTAAAGTTTCACATATAGAACCGCTCTAATCTTCTCTCTTGTTTTTGCTATTAATTTGGGATTAATTAAATTACTTGTATGGATGATCAATCTGTTGCATGTAAACCCATCATCATCCTCCAAGCATTTAAGAATTTGTTTCAAATATTCATCGGTAAACCAATTGTTATTGATAAATTCTAACGTGTGTAATTTCAATCCCCTAAATTTTCTTAATTTGTTCACCAAAAAATTGGACAAAGTAAATTCGGAAAATATGAAATTTCCTCTAATGCCAAAATATTTTAATTTGACAAATTCCATTCCCGATAATTGATATAAACACAACCCGATGTTGTTTGTTTCAAATGAAACATTAGAATTGTCCAAAATAATGGATTGAATATTATCGATAGTATTTGATAATAAAGTTCTTAGGTAATTATTTTCAAAGGGTTGGAGATCACACTTGAAATATTTGATTTTGGAGAAATTGGTAGATGTGAATTCGATCGGATTAAAAATTGGGTTCGTGAATGAGGTTTTCCCGATGTCCAGATATTCCAAGTTGGAAGAACAAATTTGTAACAAACATTGCAAGAATTGATGAGGGATATAAGAATTATTCAGATCAATCTTGTTAAGTTCAGGTAAATATAATTTTTCCCTAAAATAATCGACATCATAAAGTTCATTGATTTGAAATGTACAATTATGTAATTGAAGTTTTTGAAGTGATAAAATGCTCGTCACGTGAAAGAGAACCTTCATATCGTTAAATTTCATTCCAATCAAATTTAATACCTTTAAACGTTCAGCCTGAAATTCTCGTAACTCCTCCATTATTAAATGAAAGTCTATAGGACAATGATGTAAAATGAGATGAGATAAATTTTGTTGGTTATGAATTAATTTGATTAAACTTGCTACTTCTCTCTTTAAGCTAAAATAATCCCTTGCTACACCATAATATTTAACGTTATATGAAAAATCAATATCTATTTCCAACTTATCAAGTTTATGAACATATTTCGATATGGTTAGAAAGAAATCCGCTTTACAACTTTTCGTCGTACAAATTAATTCTCGGATATGTGATAAGCAATCTCGCGCGTTGGGTTGTTTAGGGATGAAAAAGTAGATCTCGATCGACTTAGGTTCCAGATCCTCCCTACCGTTACCCATGTATAATAAGGCGGTAGGATAACGTTGAATTTCGTTACACCGGTTGAATATGGTTTTCTTAAATATTTGATTTATATCTAATGAAATTCGTTGTAAATTTCTACACTTCCTCATGAAGAATTTTAATAGAACCTCTGATATTATTTGATACTCGGAATTGGTATTTTGTAATTTCTTCAATAAGGTTGGTCCATATGATTTCGCCAGATATTTTATGGACTCCCCATAATTTATCGGTGGGGGCGCGGAATCATCCGTTGTAGTTTGCGTTACCTGTGAATCTTTGTTGTTTTCCTGAAGAGTGAAAGTTAATCTATTTAAAAAATAAAATTCAATTATGGCTAAATCCATCTCATGGATGTCGATGTTTCGTAAATAATCAGCGTAATCAAACTTTAATTTTGGAAGTTGTCCTCGTTGAATAAAAGAACCAGCAATCAATCTCTGTTCATTCTCCCGAAAGATGCTTAAAATGTACGTATCAATTAAGTTTATCGCCTGACGTTGATGCTTTAAATAGGAACAATTACAAGTGTTTTCATCCTCCTCTTGAGCAGCGCAAGAATAAAGAAGTCGGAATGGTTGCCTCCAAAGAATGTCAATTGTTTGTGAACACCATGTTTGGTTTATCAACAAACAACTAAAAAGTGATGTCTTGTCATCTCTTAACGACAAGATTATTTGTCGAATTATATCAGTGTTGAAATTAAGTGGTAAAACCATGATATATAAAAATTTCTGAAGGAAGTGAGAAATTTTTTTGATAAAAAAATGTACGACAGGAAATCAGATGTAGTGCGACTATAAAAAAAAGGTCGATCAAGAAAGATATTCGTCATTGAATCACATGATCAACTGACGAAACTGCCATGTATGACGTATTCTTGCGCGCTCGCTTTTATTATATTATCCCATCTTCAAATAATTACAGCTAACTGTAAAATAAATTTTTAATCATCAAAAAAATAAATAAATAAATAAATTAGGCAAAATTTCTCAATAATACAAATTATATTCACTACTAATGAATATAATCTTTCGAAATCATCATCATCATGAAAATTTTACTTAATATTCATTTCGACATTCCTTAATGCAATGTAAGATTTATACCTTTCAAAATGAATTCTTTAAGGTTGAACCGGAAATGACATTTGAAGTTACTCCCTCAATAATAATTTACTTGCAAATTAAACATTGGTAGAAATAAAATTCATAGTCACCAGAAATTGTAGTTCAATTTTCAATTCTTTTTTTTTTAAAAAAAAAAAATTTATAAATTTTGAAAGTCAGTTGAATTAATATAATATTATTTCAACAAGAGAATTCACAATTACATAGGCAAGTTCATTACCCAACATTAAATAATATTTGTAATGATTTTAAAATTTGTGTTATGGCATTAAATATAATTCAAGTTCATCATGTTAATCGTAATAACCTTTGATCCTTGAATTCTAGACAATTCGATAACAAAATTTCATAATATATATAATGTGATTGTATCAACCAATTTTACAATATCTTTTAATGGTCAAATATAATATGCTTGTGAAAAATCTTTAATATTTTTTATAAATTATTGTCGAGATCCTTGCGTTAAATATAATTAAAATCTCCAAAGATTTTTGTTGACATAGGAATAATTTAACGAATAACGGAATTATACAAATGATCAGGTGACGACTTATACGAAACGCCGCCTTTTCTTTTTTTCTTAAAAAAAATTCACAACACCTAATTGTAAATTAATTAAATTAATTGATTTGATTCAATTGTAAAATTATAAATGAGTTTGGCTGTCTGTAAATCAGATTCCAAGGTTAGTTATTAAATGTATAAAAAAAAAACAAACATAATTCCAATTTTTAAAAAAAAATATTTGCTAAAAAAAACTTACCAAGAAAGTCACACTCTGAAGAGCATATTATGGTCATGGTATCTATTGTTTCAGCTATGGCCTTTATATTGTCATCAAGATTCCCAAACCAATGTAATACTTTTAAATTGTCATGATTCTTGGCGTACTCTACAACAATTTCAATAATTTTCAAATATTCCTTCTGAATCATAAATCTATCAATTATTCCCAAAGTATTTGGCCTTGCATTCATTTCATTTAAGAAATAATTAAATTGTTCTGAATCAAGAGTGAAATTGATATAAAGGGATGTAACGGATGAAGGTATTGAATTGGTTAACTCGGTTAAAATTTCAGCAAAGTTATAACCAAAGATGTCAAGATATAGGTGATTAAGGGGTAAATTGTAAATTAAGGAAGGTAAAAGTTTAGGGAAAGAAGCATTAAACATCGCCAAAGATAAACTCTGAATATTTGGACAAAAATTTTCAATGATTTCTATCAAACCATCATCAACTCTATCGAGAGCAAGTGTCCGTAATGATTTATTTATCATCTTGAGTAATAACCCCATATCATCGGCATCAAGATAGGAAGGTATATCCCAACTATATAAATGCTTAATATTTAAATTCGAGAATTTAACCTTGTCAAAATTTTCAATTAACATGGTTTGACCAAAATTTTTTAAATTTAAAGTTTCCAAGTTATTGCAATGAACCAAAATGGTTAGTAAAGGATCGAAATTCTTTAATCCTTCTACATGTAGATACCTCAAAGAAAGGAATTGTGAATCAATCGCTTTAAAGATCTGCGAAGGTTTTTTGATATTCCAAAAATCATTCAACTCCAAGATTTCAATCCCTTGTTGTGATTCAATTAATAATGAAATTAAAAGGGCTAATTGTGATTGTAAACACCTTTGCTTATTATGAAAAGTAATAGAAAATTTTAAATTACGTATATTCTTTGCGTATTTTTGTAACAATTCAAATAATGCTGATGGTTGCGTTCCGAGACAAACTTCCACATCTTTCTTATTTTCATAAATGAAATTAAACTTTTGTAAATTTGACAATGAAAGATTGTTTTGTAACAAATGAGGCATTTTCAACCAATCGCTATCATGGTCGAGATAAACACTTAATTCCCTAAAACCTTTTGTACGATTGAAAAATAAATTAATTAAAAGTTGAAAAAGAATATCAAATTTATCGTTAAATGCATTAAATAAAATCCATCGGTTGATGGCTTTTCTGATATTGGAAATTTGCAAATGTTGTAAATATCTTGGGTAATCAAATAATGGTTTATTCAATTCAAAAGAAGAGAGTTGAGTAAATTTTTCTTGAATTTCTTGCTTTTTTAGACATGCTATGTACGTCTGAATAATAGTTATGCACCTCCTTTTGGATATTTCGTAATCAAACGGGTGATGCCATAATATAGGAATTGTTTGTTGGCACCATAATCTGTTAACCAATAAACACGAATGTAATGTTGAATTTTCATTTTTCAAATTTTCTAACACTTCTAAAAGACAATCTGCCGTCAAGGAAGTCATTACTAGACAGTTAAAAGCGTTGAGACGGAAAGGAAGGTAATGAAACGTACCATTATTTATATTACGGATCTGCAAGTACGTATGATCCGCATTTGAACATGATACCTCCACAAAGAAAAATAAAATCTTGTGATTGGTGATAATCTTTCATTCATATGAAAACTATTTAATTGGTAATTTACAAATTCGATGATTTTTTATTAAGAAATAGTACCATAAAAAGCAACATTGCCGCGCAAGGGAAAAATATTTCAATTAACATTTGATCCAAAAAGAAAACTTGTAGGTTAACGTCAATCGTAAGTATAAATGCTAACACATGACTCAACAAACTTTCATCTCATTCGTAGAAAAATTGAATTTTCAATTTTTCATAGTCATTATATAAAAAGGCTAGCCTGGCATAGAAATTTCATTGCCAAATAATTTTAGGAAATTTTTTTTTTTTTTATATCTTATCTAGTATAACACGATCATCAAATCATTTTTCTTAATTGAATAATGAAACAAAGAAAAAAAAAATTTAAAAAATAAAAAATTAGTTAAAGAATATGAAGAGTAAACTCATCGAATTTACATTGGGTGGCGAAGTAAATTAATGTCGATCTGCCTAAATTCGACTAACCTCAGCCGAAAGGATTACCGTGTCACATAAAAGGTCATTTGAAAGTTTTTTGTTTTTTTATAAATTCGTGGGAATACAAAAAGAAATTATTAAAAAATATATGGTCCATGATTATGATTTTTATTTTGTGACTTGTCTATTTATTTATAAATCGATCTCCTCTTTTAATTTTTTTTATTTTTTAAAATAGAATGGATTCTAATGATAATAAAACCATCATGAATACCCAAGATTTAAATAATGCTATTCGTGTCGAACTTAATCGACAAAATACTGTTATCAACCAACTTTCTAAAGATTCGGGAATTGAAGAACACATTATTCGGGTAGATCATTTTTGACTTAAATTCTTTTTATACATCTATTATGCTAAATTTTCTTATTTTTTCCTTTCTATGTACGTATACATAAATGATTTATACTGATAGAATATGATGAATGAGAAGAGACCAGTGGTTAAAAAGAAGGAAAATCTTACCGCGTACAACATGTTTGTTGAGGTTCAAAATAGAAAATCACAAGGAAAAGGTTATTATGAATATGATTTTTTTTAAAAAAAAAAAATTTATCACGGAGCATTTTTTATATGTAATTCGAATTTTTTTTTTTCTTGATGATAGATAAAGATTATCAAGTGATCTGGGACTCTTTAGATTCGGAACAAAAGTTAGCATATCAAATAATTGCCAATCAACATAACCTTGAACATCGTTATTCTGAAGTTAAATTTATCAGTAACCCAGAAGAACGTTTAAATACTTTAAAAGATGGTTTAAGAGAATTAAAGCATCAGGTATATATATGTAAAAACAAACATTTATATAAATATTATAATCTTTTTACAATTCGTTGTTGATTTAGTGTTGTCGATTAAATCAAGAATGTGGTTTTGATTTCTTGGTCATCACTATTGAACCAAAAGAGTTGCCAGAAACTTCCTTTGGGTTTGGAAGCCTCCTTGCAGATGATTTTTGTATTGAACAGCCTGAAGAAGTTTTACAAATCAGTAAAAAATTGTATAATTATGGCGAATCTACAAGGAATTTGCGTACGTTTATATATATATGTAGATATTATTTAAATGTTTTAACTTTTTTATTTTAGGAATAAAATTTTGTTTTGTTTTTATTTTTATTTTATTTATTAAAATTAGAAAATGAAACCGAACAAGCAGATTTAAGAAATGATCGATTCGAGTCTCTAATAGATCAAACATTATCATCGAATTATCAATTGTCATCTACAAATGAAAACGCAAAAACGGATATTAGTGAAGAAACTGAAAGTGAGTTATCTACTTCTTTGACCGAAAGTAATTGTACGAATTTTGGAGGAATAAATGAAGAAGCAATTGAAACTGATTACGAATCTGATGATGATAAGACTGTTTGTGATGATGAACGAGATTTAATTAAACAAGATCCTTTATATGAATTACTTGGCCAAGATTATATGACTGTTCAACTTGATAACCGATTAAAATCTGCTGTGAGAAAATTTTTGAGAGCAAGGTTCTGTAAGTATTCTCTTCTCCCAATTACAAAAAAAAAATTGAAACTTTTTTTAACTTATAAATAAATTATTTTAGATTCAGATACTGGAAAAATTACAAATATCCCTTATAAAGATTGGGAAAACCAAACAAAATATTCAGTAACTGGATGGCCTAAACATATAAAATTTGATGATTGGGGAAGAATTAAAGAAAAAAGAGAAGTATATCGTCATTTACTTAATATTCATTTTCATGTTAACGAGGAAGCACCAGAATATAAAAGATTTAGATCTTCTAATAAGAAAAAAAGAAGATTAGTATAATTTATATATATCAAATTCAATTAACATCGTAAATATTCTTTTGGAATTCTTTCGAATAAAAAAAAATATACTTTTTTTTAGAAGAAACCTTTTTTTGACGCAGAAATGAATGTTGTAAATGTTGCATGTTACAATACAAATAAAATAAACTAAATATGAGATTTCTTTTTCCCCACCCACCATGATTTGGGATACATCCTCATTCAATAACCGTTTTTTAACTAAATAAAGGCGCAAATCAGAACCATGGTAATGTTTAAATGGCAATTAAAAAAAATTTTTTTTGAAAACATCCTCAAATAGTTAGTAAGTGATGTGGTCTATAGTATTTAATTAAACCTTGTTAATAATCATCACACTACAAATGATTTTTGGTTTAAATCTTGTTTCATGCTTATCCATCAAAGTATCATTCACGATTGCATTTGGAATCATTTAATCTATATAAGTTATGATTCTAAATAACAGATTTTCAATTTATGATGGACCAAATATATATACACTTTTTTATTAGAAGAATATATTTATAAAAAAACTTCTGATCAATCAATTTTTGATTGGATATCACACACGTGTGGAAGAACCTTTGAACATTTTAACTTATAACATTTTTATATAAATTTTGATGGAGTTTTGAAAACCAGAAAAGAATATTTAAAATTCGAATTTACCAGTCGCGGCAATTTCTGGAGTACTCTGCTGCTGACCGAGTCGCGACTCTCATTAAAAAAAATTAATAAAGGTTAATTATGTGTACAAATATTAGCCGGAATACTTATTGCATTTTGATGGAATTGTCTGATGAGTTTGTTATCTACAACCAACGAATTCATAATTTAATCCTAAATGTTGTGAGCTGATTTCGAATGATTCCATTGACTCCAATCTTAAGTATCTTGCGAGAATTCACGTAATTAAATAACTAACATCCAATTTTCGCAACAAGCAATGGGTTTGCTGGCGTGTGACACAATGACAACGCATTCGTCAAATGACCAAGTTTTTATTTTCGAATTTGAAATTAAAATATAACAAGGGAATACCAATAAATATACCGCTTGCAAAATGTTTACTATTAAATTCTTTAAAAAAAGAAGTTAACTCCTTTGAATCAATCTTAGTTTCATCAGTAAATCTATTTCAAGATATCTAAGTTTGGGGGAACATAGTTCTTTCCAATTATGATGTTCCTTTTTCCTTGGATTGATTAGCAAGGGAACTTGAATTTGAAATAAATACATTTATCAAATCTCAATCCTTTTAAAGTTTGTAGAGGTTCTAGGTGAAAAAAATATTATAGTAACATTATTAAAGATCAAAACGTTTAAAGAACTTTATTGAAATTCAATGACGGAATCCATGATGACCTCCCAAAATTCATCATCATTAAATATCAAAAATAATTCCAAATGAACCAAATGATGTTTAGAGAGGCGACTTGATTTGCTTTCCTTATTGCTGTGAATGTGTCACTGGTAATGGTTAACATAATATTAGCTCTAAAAACCAATTTTTGAATATTACAAATTTTTGAAATGGAGCACAAGTGAGTTAAATAAGAATAACTGAATAATTCAGTTAGAATAGGTTAACCAATTTTGATTAAATTTAGGGATATCAATTAAATATACAAAGTATGATGAATCCGGTTGTTTAATGACTTGGTAAGGGATAAACAATAATTTTATTACGACTCAAGTGAAGAATAAATTGTGTGTGTATACAATGAAATCCTTTGTAAATCAAATACCATAAAGTAAATATGATATGATTTTTCATCTGGAAAACCTCCGGTAAAGAGAAATATATTTATCAGATTCGGATATTTCTGTATCTAATGATTTCTCCCAATCTTTAGCAGTAAATTCTCACTAGTTTTGCAACTTAAATTTGTCGTATCGTCGTTGAATAATGACAACTTGTTTCTTTATATGCATAAATAAAATAGAATGGCAGTGCGTATTTATATTTAGACTTATTGTTTGAGAGCGAAAAATAAAAATAAAAATAAAATAAAATTAGTTTTTTAAAGGATTAGAGTATCAAACGACGTTTATAATTGGTGTTAGAGTTGTACAATCTTTTTAACAATTGGAACACAAAATACAAAAAAAAATTATTATTATGATTTAAACGTATGAAGTTATTCTTTTAAAACTCCGTGTACTACGCCAAGTTATGTCAAAAATGGAATATTGTATGATTGAAAAGTTTCATGAATCATTCTTTCAATAACATTTTTAGCACAATAAAGGAATTACTATATTTACACACATCATATATTATACAAGTTTTTCGTTTTCCCGGATTTCCTATTCTACCAAACACGGATAATTTTATTTTTTTTTTCTCTTTATATAAAAAAAAAAGAACGCGACAAGGAAAGTCACATTTTAGAGCTATGAAAAAAAAAATTCTTTAGTTTCGGCCAAGGTTAGGGATCTTTTCATAGTTAACTATTTTTAGCGTCGGCCAAGAATCAGAGATTGAAAATTATATACAGTATATGGAAAATATAAAAAAAAAAGATAATTTTAAGACATGATTCACGTCCAGTATTTTTCTTTTACTTTCAAATTACTAATTTGACCAAGATATAAAACAGAAATGTCCAGATGTGGATTTTTTATGTGGATTAGTATTTATTTATATTTAAGAATGTAGGAAAAATATTTTACTATTATAAATAGATAAATTAAAGATGTTTTGGGTTAACCGATTTTTTCATTGCCCATAACTTTTTTTATTGCTGAATAATTCCAATCCAGGTCAAAGGATTATCTCTTCGGTCATGTACCTGCAACAGGTCATTGTTAACTGACAATTATAAATGCAGCAAACAATTTAGAGCTTTGAATCTTTTAGAAACTTGATCTGCTGCAAATATCTAGTCAGTTACTTAAAGCGGAAATCATTTGGTACTTTAAAATTGGTAGATATATTTCACGCCGATGCATATCAAATTTCATTTGTGAAGATGTGACGATTAATGCAGTCATCAACTGATATAAATTTGACATTGTTTTTTTTTCCTCATTTCACAAATTATTTAAATTTTTTTCGATTTCGAAATTCTACAAGATTTTTTATTTTGATAAGTTTTATTTTACTACGGGAATCCTACATAAATATTTTTTTTTTTTTTTTGTAAATAAAATAATCAACATTATAATTCTCTAATTAAACATTTTATTTAGACTTAACAATGAGTTTCGTGAAATTTAAAAAACCACAAACAAGTGCTTCTTCAACACCTACTATTCCTTCAAAAGATAATGACCAAGGAGCTACTACCTATTTCACACATCAAAAACAATATACTGATCCCCCACAAAGCATAAATAATACTTCACAACAACCATCAATGTATACCGAACGTCGTCAATCATCGTACCCCCTTCCTCCTCAAAGACTTAAATCATCCATCATGAAACTTCCCATAATATTTTCTCCACTACGCAGTAAAGCCACCAAAGCCATGAAACTTGGGGATCATCAAGAGACTCTTAGATTGCTTAATGAATTGATCCTAACTTATCCGGACAATTATCAAACGAGGTGCGATAGAGCAGAAATTTATCAACAGTTAGAAAATTATTTGGACGCCATTGATGATTTAAATTATGCAACGGAAATAAAACCAACTAAAGCTAGAGCATTTTATTTAAGAGGATTAATTTTCAAAGAAATGAATGAATTGGGAGCAGCGAGAAAAGATTTAAGCATGGCATTGATAAAAGATAGTAATGATCCAAGAGCGTTGGACTCTTTGAAAATTTGTGCACAAATTAATATTGATGAAGAAAGTTTAGAAAGTTTTGAAAAAGCGATATGTAATTTAAATGACATGTTGAAATTGGATGAGAGAAATATTTGGGCTCTACATAAGAGAGGAGACATTTATTTTAGACAAAAAAAATATTCTGAAGTTGTAACGGATATGGATAAAGCATTATTTATTGAACCTAATAACGTTGATTTTATTGAAATGAGAGGAACTTCATTGGGGAAACTGTTAAAGTATAGTGAGGCAATGAAAGATTTTAATAAAGCATTAGAATTGGATGATAATAATCCAAGACTTTTATTGAAAAGATCGAAAATATTTAGATTACAAAATAAATATCAGGAAGGTTTGAAAAATATTGAAATGTTACTTTTAATGGGAGTTGAGTTGGATTTTAATATTTTACGAACTCGCGGAAAGATTTATCGTGGTTTATGTAGATATAAAGAAGCATTGTCTGATTTTAATGCGGCATTAAAACAAAAACAAAAATATTCAATATATGTTAGAAGGGCCGAGATACACAAGATATTAAGACAATACGATGAGGCGTTAAATGATTTAAATCAGGCATTATCGTTTAATCCTGATCATAGTGATCAATTAAAGATATGTGATATGCGTAATCAAGTCTATTCTCAATCGTCTAAATTTAAGGAGGCATTGGAAGGATTAAATAGTGTCTTGAGTATATCTCCAAAAAATGTGAATGCACTCTCTGAAAGGGGAAAAGTTTATCGTGCAACACATCGTCTTGATGAAGCATTAAATGATTTAAATAAGGCCTTGACAATAAATTCAAAATGCTCACTTGCTCTTTTATATCGTTCTAAAATATACCGCGACCAAAATAATTTTACAGAAGCGTTGACTGATCTTAACGCTGCTTTGGGAATTGATCCTAAAAATGCACAAATATTAAGAAATAGAGGGAAGATCCTTACTTTAAAAAAAGAACATGACATGGCGTTAAGAGATTTAAATAATTCTTTAAAATCTGAGGAACATTCATCAGCTTTGAGATATCAAGGAAAAAATTTATCAAAATTGAAGAAATATGATCTGGCTATTAAGAGTTTCAATAAAGCCTTACAGATGAAACCCACTAGTGGAAGTATATTTTATGATCGTGGCGAAAGTTATTTCAACTCTCACAAATATAAGGATGCGTTAGAAGATATGAATAAATCTTTGGAATTTGATGAGAATCCAA